CAAGCTTGGAATGAAAATCATAGGGGAGAATCGTCAGCTAAAGGTAGTCAAGGGCATTATGGTTGTGGCAAAGGGTGAACTAGTTGGGAATTTATACAGATTGGTGGGTGAGACTTTAGTGGGAAAAGCTACTATTGCTAGTACCAAGTCTGAATCCTCTTCTGTTTGGCACAAACGGTTGGGACATATGAGTGATCGTGGGCTTCAGGTACTATCTAATCAAAAACTTCTTCCTGGTTTCAAGACTGACTCATTGGGTTTCTGTGAAGATTGTGTATTTGGAAAACAACATAGGCTGTCTTTTTCTTTGTCAACAAATAGAAGCCATAAATTCCTTGACTTGATTCATGCTGATACTTGTCAAGTACCTGCTGTTTCTATTGGTGGGTGTTCTTACTTTGTGACACTCATTGATGATTTCTCCCGAAAGGTATGGATTTTCATGCTCAAAAGGAAATCTGATGCTTTTGAAAAATTCAAAAAATTTAAAGCATTAGTAGAAAATCAAAAAGGCACAAAAAATTAAGTGTCTCCGAACTGATAATGGGGGAGAATTTTGTAGCAAGGAGTTTGATGATTTTTGCAGTGAGCATGGTATTAAGAGACATCTTACAGTACCAGGAACACCACAGCAGAATGGGGTTGCTGAGAGAATGAACCGAACTCTCATGGAGCGTGCTAGATGCATGATGAGCACTACAAAATTGGGGAAGGAATTTTGGGCTGAAGCTGTTAACATTGCATGCTATCTAATCAACCGCTCACCCACTGTTTCTCTCAAGTTGAAAACTCCGGAGGAGGTTTGGTCTGGTAAACCTGCAAATTATTCTTTCCTTCGAATATTTGGATGTGATGCTTATGTTTGGGTGCCTAAGGAGAAAAGAACCAAAGTTGACAAAAATTCAAAAAGATGTATTTTTCTTGGCTATGAGACAGGTACAAAGGGGTACAAATTGTGGGATCCTACTGCCCGCAAGCTTATTATTAGCCGAGATGTGGTTTTTAATGAAGATGTTTTTCAAGGCACAACTAAAAATGAAGAAGCAAGGAAGCTTGTTATTGAGCAAGAAGCTAGTTTTGATGATGCTGTACAGGAGGAAAATATTCAAAATGATCCTTAATCTGAGTTTGAGCCTGAGTCTGAGCTTTTACATGAAGGAACTTCATCTGGTGATGCTGTTTCGCCTCGACCTCGAAGGGCCATTAGACCTCCAGCGAGGTATGATGACTATGTTACATCTTTGAAGCCTCAATCTAATTATGTATGTGCTTATCTTGCTTTGTCAGAAGAACATGAGCCAACTTCTTTCAAAGAGGCTTGTGAGTCTGTCAATTCTGACCAATGGTGAGGTGCAATGGAGGAGGAGATGGAGTCTTTGCACAAGAACAAAACTTGGGATCTTGTTCAGCTACCAGAAGGTCGAAAGGCAATTGGATGTCGTTGGATATACAAGTTGAAGAAGGGCTCAGAAGGGAATATAGAAAGATACAAAGCCAGACTTGTAATTAAAGGGTATGCCCAAAAACCTGGTATTGATTTTGATGAAGTTTTCTCACCAGTTGTTCATATGACTATCATTAAAGTTGTTTTAGCTCTTGCTTCTTCTCTTGATCTTGAGTTAGAACAACTAGATGTCAAGACAGCTTTCTTGCATGGTGACTTGAATGAAGAAATTTATATGACACAACCTGATGGCTTTGTTGAAGAAAATAATAGAAGTTTGGTTTGTCGGCTGAACAAATCGCTTTACGGTCTGAAACAGGCGCCTAGATGCTGGTATAAGCGGTTTGATTCCTTTATCGTGAGCTTGGGATTTCATAGATGTGAAGCTGATCATTGTGCTTATTTTTGTGATTATAATGATGGATGCTTCTGTATCTTGTTATTGTATGTAGATGACATGATTATTGCAGGAAATAATCCCACTTATGTCTCTACATTAAAAGCTCAACTTGCTGGGGAATTCGATATGAAGGACTTGGGAGTCGTGAATCAAATTCTTGGGATGAAGGTATTTAGAGATAGAGAGGACATGAAGATCTGGTTGAATCAAAAGAACTACATAGAAAGGGTTCTGCAGCGCTTCAATATGCAGAATGCTAAACCAGTGAGTACCCCTTTTTCCTGTTCATATTAAGTTGTCTTCAGAATACTCACCTAGCACTGAAGCAGAGAAGGCAGCGATGTCTCGAGTACCATACTCATCAGCAGTAGGGAGTCTTATGTTTGCTATGGTCGAAACTAGGCCGGACATTGCACAAGCAGTGGGAGCTGTTAGCAAATACATGGCAAATCCTAGTCGTGTTCATTGGGATGCAGTGAAGTGGATCCTTAGATATTTAAAGGACACTTCAAGTGTTTCATTGTGTTACAGGTCAATGGAACCCAATTGTGTTGGTTTTGTTGATGCAGACTTTGCCGGAGATAGAGATAAAAGAAGATCAACTTCTGGTAATGTCTTTATCATGGCAGGTGGTGCAGTTAGCTGGGAGTCTAAATTGCAGCCGGTTGTAGCCTTATCAACAACAGAGGCAGAGTATATCTCTATCTCTCATGCTTGCAAAGAAGCTATTTGGTTGGAGAGGTTGCTTGCAGAATTTAAAATGAAGCAGGACACGTTTTCTATGCATTGTGACAGTCAAAGTGCTTTGTTATTGGCTAAGAATCCAACTTTTCACTCTCACACAAAGCATATCGATGTCCACTATCATTTTGTTCGACAATTAGTTGAAGATGGGAAGATACTTCTGCACAAGGTTCACACAAGTTCAAATCCAGCAGATATGTTAACAAAACCAGTGGC